TTTATAAATTGTTTCGACGTTTACTCAAATATTCATAATCTAACTATTAAGATGAAATCAATCGCAATGCATCGTCCTGAATATTCATCCGTATGTCTTCTTTGAGGAAGAGAAATTCTAATATTCCATAAGAATTCTGCTATTACGTTACGGTAGAAAGGAATATGTAAGACATGTAGATAAAATTATGTAAGACACGTGTGATTCGGTTTCGCGTCGCGTAATATAAATAAAATTACATATATGTGATCATCTCTCTTTGTAGCAGTCTTATGCTCGGCATATAATTTGCCCGTTCCGACATAATATCTGTATTTTCAACGATCGCCAGCTGCACACTCGCGGTCAACAGACTCGTGGATGAACGCAAAATTGCTGTTCCAATTACTGACGGCATTGACAACACGAATGTTTGTAATATTTGATTCGGCACAAACCGTTTTTTACTACTAAAACGCAATTCGGATACTTGTCTACGCACTCAGACGACTCGTGCACTTCTGAAACACAAAATTAAAATATACTTGTCGAGCATATATATATCGAATGTAATTTCTTCGCACTAAATAATATCTAATACTGATCTATAGGATAATTTTTCAGAAATAGTAACAGCATTTTTTTTTAAATTATTAAAGCTAGACAAAGTATTTCAAAAGTGGAAGTTAATTGTTCGGTAAGTGATTGAGGGGGACATAAAGACAACAGAAAAAAAATTAATATGAACATAAATTCGGAAATGCGTTGTTTTCGAGTTATTGCCATTTTAAAGTAAAATTTCAAATTGCTTTGTTTTTTTTCTTTTTCGTCCAAATTGAAAGACGAGATAGTCTTTGTGATGAGAAAAGAAAAGAAAAAAGTGATTAAAGAAAATAATTTTTTCTTACTTTTCGGCGGTTTGTTCACCACCACTGATACCTCCTTCTTACACGGTTCCACGTTACATCGTTGCTGGACGCTTGGTTTGCTAATTTCCGTACAACTAGTACTGCTAATACCATCAACGATACACCGTACAAGTCGTGTTTGCACTCCATCTCCGCATGTCGCGGAACACTAAACGTAGAATAAATATTCTCTATCAGGCATATCATCCTTAAAACGCAAGTTGATAAAATGCATAAAAGAAAATAATTCCTAATCAAAAGTTTTTTAAAAGAGGCAATACTTTACCGTCGACCAGTCTGAGGTGAACCATTCTGGCGAACACGCGGACATTCTGCAGACTTGCTCGGTCGTTGGTTTGGGATCACTGCAATTTTTCGCTGGTAGCACGACAAATTTGATATTTGTTTTAGCTATACAAGCGATATCACGATGTTGTACGCCAATGCCGCATGAGACGGAACACTGAAAATGTAAAAAAAAGTTAGTACGAGAAATTATACGTCGTTATCACTATTAACAAAAAAAATTTCATTCAATTTACACATAATAATCGAAATAAGAATTAAAAGAACAATATGTTTTATTAAACTAAATCCGCTGTAAAAATTGTTGAGAATTAAATTAGGATATAAATTAGAATTTCGTGTTATATTAAGAGAACATTATATTATGTTTCAAAGACGTCACAATATTAAATTACACAATTTTAAAACTATCTTAAAGATATAATCGAGACATTTTTTTAGATAATTATATTGTTCGCGTAGAATTTTGGAAGTAAAGCTATAATTCATGTAAAGAATTAATAATCTCATTTATTGAAATTATATCAGTAATCAGCCTTATGTGTATTCAGCGAATTTTTGACGTCACGAAGCGCGTATTTTATTTTTTATACTAACAGAAGTCCATGGACTAGCAAACCACTTGGCTTGCTCGCAGTTCATCTCTTGTCCAAAGCAACGCATCTCCGTTTCCGGTCTCTCTTTAGGATTGCAGAATAATTCGCTACCGTCGGCGCATGCCACTCTTCTGATTCTAACGCCATTCCCACATTCTGCGGAGCACTGCAACAGTGTGATGAATGCCGTATTACCGTAATATTCCGATAATGCATATACTTAATCCATTTTTATATCGATGTCGAAAAGAAATAAAATCACAATTAATCATCGAAGACATCGAAAATATCCCTTCTTCTCTTTTGACACCAATAAAAAAAAATCAAGGAAAAGAGATTTTTTTTTTACTTCATCTCAAATAAGATTTAATAAAGATAATTAAAGTTAAAAATGAAGTGATTTAATTTAATTATCAAATAAATCACGCGAAGTATATTTCGGAATTAACATATCAAGAAGAATAATTCTTAAAGAGACAGACATTTTCATGTTTGTTTCTATTTTCAACGGAATTAATGATATATATACCTTTGAGGACCATTCCGAATATAGCCAGGGCGCGTGATGTCCCGTGTCTGTCACCGCATTACAAGCCGCTACCTCGCACGCTTTTTGGGATTCCGGTCTGTTGGCTAATGAACAGGATTCTCCGGACGTTATGCAAGTCACCGTTCGATTTCGAGTTCCACGACCGCACGTCGCCGAACACTGGAAACACACGCGCAATTAATTAGAATGAAAGACCTAACGGACGAGATACATAGCCGAATCAGGAAATCAACAATTTTAACAACAGAAGCGTAGAGCTCTATCAATTTGCACATATAATTATAACGGGAATGTATACAAAATGTATTCGACAAAAAAAAAGTAACTAAATTTGAGAATTCTCAAAATGTTTTCCATCTATCACTTATATTGATGAATTTCACTCGTTTAGGTTCTACGCTTTACTTTAATCTCTTCTTCAATTAGACGACCTAATCATTCGATCTGCTTACAAACTGCTTCTCCGATAAACAAACATAAGGCGATCCTTTACGTCAATTGATTTCTCGACTTCTAAACAATTTCTTCCCGTCCTACTTCCTAAACCTTAAACAGCTGAAAGCAGCTGTTTAACAATGAAAAAAGGCATTTAACAGGCTGATGACTCACCGGGCTCCATGCGCCCACGTCCCACCTAGGCGCGTCGTGCTGCGAAGTCATGTGCCTTAATTCCGGACCCGCGTTGGGACACGCCGGTCGATTGCAAGTTTCCACGGTGCTCAGATCTGCCGGTTGCATGCATGCCCCAGCGGCAACGCGCATTGTCAATCTCGCGTTCAGCTCCTGGACGCACTCGAGCTTTCGCGTTCTGGTGCCGAGCCCGCAAGTAACCGAGCACTCGCTCCACGGCTCGACTCGCCATCTAAAAACAATTCCGATTTTTTTTTTAAATATGAATCGCGGGCTTGTCCGGCGATTTGTAAACGGCAACCTCCACGGAAAGTTAGTTTCGCGTTAGTTTTCAATCGCCAGACATCATTCATACTCCTTGAATTCGAAAGCTTTCCAAAAGACTGCAAGTTTTGAATCTTTTAATTGTAAGGTTTTTTTTTTTTTTTAGGAGAATGGAAGGATCTACTTACAGTAATTTACAGAAAAAAATTTTTTTTAATTATTTTGAATCAAAGATACTTTTTATAGAGTTGCTAAAAATGTGCTGGAAAAATTTTGGCTTGCGGCTTTGTTCAAGACATATTAAAATCTATAAGAAATGCCTCGTCTGATTTTCAAAATATTTTGTTGCAAAGTTGTCTGATTCAATAATATTTTGTTGTAAAGTAGTGTCAAAGAGATATATCGAAGGTATACCTAGCGGCGCAAGGATGATCGTTGCATCGCAGTGGAGGAGGATGCGTCGGTTTTTCCACGTTGCGACAGCGCTTGTCGTTGACGGGTGTCTGATTGCTCTCACGGATGCACTTAAGAATCGTCGTCTGCACGCCTGTAAGATGCAGCAAGATGCGATGAACGATTCGATACATTTCGACATTACCTTTTATTTATCCTTGATAGATACAAAATTCAATTTTCCTCTCTAAATTAGCTTAACTTTTTCAAAACATTTTAACAATGGACAAGACATATTGTTGTGTAATCATGGAATTTATTTAAAATCTATTCAAAGTTAAAAATAAAATTTTACCTTTGTGGTTTAAAATTGCAAAAAAAGTTATTCATTTTCGGTCGATTGTAACTCGATATACTTCAAATCTTTTATTTATCCTTAATAACATACAAAATTCAATTTTCTTCTCTAAGAAATCAGTTTAACTCTTTTCAAAACATTTTAACATTAAACAAAATATATTTATATAATAATAGAATTTTATTCTGTTCCAAATTAAAGAATAAAATTATATCTTTGCGATTTAGATTACAAAAAAAAAAAATTATTCATTTTCGGTCGAATGTAATTCAGATTGTGATGTTGATGTATTATTCAGTATCAATTTTATTCAGAAAAGTTTCACCTGAAATTAATTAAGGAACAAAACGAAATGCGACACTTTACGAGTGGGACATTTTGTATTATGATCGACGTGACCGTCGCGTTTCCTTTTCTCCGTATTTATCGCTTTCCGCCCGTATCACGTCAATTTAAATTAGAACATCGCAATGACAGATATCGGATGCTGTCCCGATGCAATGTTCAGATGTTTAGAAAGTCAGTGATAATTTCCGGTTGGCATCTCAAAAGTATCGTGCCTCTACGTATCTCTGCAGATATCTACGCTTGCAATTTTATGCTTATATAACTTTAATTATTGATTTCTATATTTGCTTCATCCGATAAAAACAATTTCAAGACTTTTTCAAAATTTTTTGTAATAAACGCATGCGAGACATTCAAAATATCTTATCTAAAATTTTTGACCGTTGCCTGTCTTGGAATAAAATGAAACGTATCTCGGACGCTACTTCCCACGCAACGCCTCGGTGACGTCTAGACAAAGTCGTTTTCGTAATGACCTTTAATTATCCAGGCGCTTTTTGCCTAATTGCCCCTTTAATAGGTGTCTCACGACAGACTCAAAATGACTCGAAATTATATGGCTTTTTATATCAGCGATATTTTACATGGACGTTCAACTTTAAATATCGGATACCTACAAATTATGTTTCGCAATATATGTCTTTTATTAACTGATAAAATATTACATCTTTCAAGGAATAATTAAGCGCTGTTAATAAATACGTTTCTTGCGTCAGAGATGTATGTTTGTTTATCGAAATACACGCGATGGCTGTTAATTTTATCGACAAGCTTTAAACCACGGTAATCAATTAGACCGGGTACGTTGTATAATTACAAATATTTAATCGCTCGCAATTTAGAATGTACCCCACGTACATTAGTAATATTTATCCGTTAATTTTCATTTATTTCTCCGACGCCATGATATCATGCTCTCTGAAATATACGAGAGATATGCGAAAATGTATTACCAGCGATATTGGAAATTAACGCAAACTCTCAGCGTTGAAATTATAATACTGCGTGTCGCAATCCAAAAGTTATACAACGTATATTGAAACATTTATCATTCGCAATCCAAAACAATTAAACTACGTTTCGATATCGAATATTAAAATCACAGGAGAAATATTTTACTTGGAAAACATTATTTTCCAAACGCGTTGTACTAAGCTAATACTTACGTTATACGACTTCAAGGATAAGTTTAAATTATATAATAGCGTTTAAGTAAAAAATTTTGTTTATCAGATTCATAATGATATCGCAATAAGATAAAAAGAATTGTTTCACTTCGCGATTCGATTTTAATAAATAAATTTTTATTAAAATCATACTTTCCAGAAAAATTATCTTTATAAAATATATATGTAAATTACAAAGTAAAAATGCTCAAGATTGATAAATA